GATGTGAATATGAATATTTGAATGTAAACATTACACGTGCACTTAGGTGGGGAGTAGCCTCTGTAGGAATTACTGTACTGGGCGTGGCTCACCCTAACTGGGATATACAACAGTGGACGGCTCTCATTCAGGGCCGCAAGAGTGAAGAAAGCCGATTTGTGGCTTTTATAACTCTTTTTGTAAAACTTTTGGAGCAAAACTAGTTTTGGCATGTAATTTTATGTAAGAGAGTTGTAATTGAACTCATATAGACTGTTTTTAATATAACCTTGAATGTTTTTATATGAGTATGTATGAATGGACCCGGTGTGATCAATTTTTACTCATGAATGGACCCGATGCAGTCATTGTATTATATTGGGTCTCAGATGGGTCGTGTTAATGTATATTGTACAGGTTAAGTTTTGGGTAGAGCTCCCTATACAAAGGAAACTCTGCCCAAATTTTGTTAAATTAAGGACCCCTGTTTTTTGGGGTGTTACATTTATTGTTTTGAATTATCCTTTTGACATAATGGATTTAGTCACTTGCCCATGTTATTGTTGTGAGTGCTTATTTTGTCTAATGCCAATATTTTTAATTAGCTGACATGATTCTTATGGAGTAAGATGAATGTGAAGAGTGCCTAAAGTAATTAATAGAGGCGTAACAATCATTACAAGGCTAAATAAAGTATCCCATATCTCTCACACTCTTTCACATTGCTGCCCAACCACCACCGCCTCAGCCCATTGAAGTAAACTGTCAACGCCTCCCACGACAACAACCTCTCTGAGGTCTCTCTCTCTCCCTATTCTCTTCTCCGTGTTCCATCTCCTGCAAACACATAAAAACCCACACACATACACAACCATTATAAACATAGACAAAACACATACATGCACAACACACCCATACACCCAGATACACAACACACATGCACCCACACATTTAATGCAAAGAACACACACACACCAAGTGTACTCAATTACTTTCAATTTATCCATTTCATAACTGATTAGTGCTTACAATTAACATTTTATTATGCCTTTTTGAGACTAATTGTACTTTGATGGAGTTTAAGTAATGGCATTTCAGGTCCTAAAGTGAACAAAGGCTCAAGAACAACAAATATAACACTTGAGTGTAACACCAATGCATTAGGAAACAAAATTGGAGAAGGTTGGAACAAAGCAACCATGTTCAAATGTCAACTCACGTTCGAACATCCACTTGAACTCTGAGAAGACCAGACTGTTGAGACATGACATGTTGTAATCAAGAAGGAAGACCTTGAAAGTACTTGAGCACCACGTTCAAACGTCCACTTGATTTGATTGAAGACCAAAGTGATGAGTGCAAAGAGCCAAGATGTACATGGAGTGTGGAAATAGAGTTCCACTATAGACCACAGACCACTTGAGTGATATGGTCAAACCCCATCTGACATTCAAACGCCCCTAAAGAAAGACAGAAGTCACGTTCGAACGTCAGACAACATTCGAACGTCCATAAAGCCAAAATAGAAATAACGTTCAAACGTCAACTCACGTTTGAACGTCCTCCACAGACTGCTAGCAGTGTAGTTGGTTTTCACTTAGACTTACGCGGCATACACTATTCATTCATCCTCTGTTATCTTTCCCCCTCCCCTTCTTTGCCTATAAATACTCCCATTAGGGAAGCTTGAAGGGGATTCTTTTCTTGAAAAGTATGGAGCGAGAGCTTGGTTAGTAGGCTTAGACTACACCAAGAACTAGTAAGAAGTTTGTATGGAGGCTTGGACTCCTACTCATTTTGATTAATCTTAGATGTATGTTATATTTACTTGTATCAAGAGAGTTAGTTCATTTTTTGGTTGAGAAAGCAATCCTCCATCTTTTGGTTGAAGAAGCAACCCTTCACTTATTGGTTGAGGAAGCAACCCTCTATTTGTTGGTTGAAGAAACCACCCTCCAAGTAGTGACTAGCTTTCTCTTACTTTCATTGTTTATGTTTTTCATTTCCATTGCTTGAGCTTCCTTCTTCTTTAGAGGAGTGAAATTATTTCACTTTTCTAGAGCTTTACCAAAGCCATGAAGGGTGGAACGTGATTTACTTATTATTTGGTGAAGATCGGCTCTTCGTTTATTGTACTTTACCTTGTAAGTTCTCTACTTGGAGGGATGAGTATCACTCACTTTTTTAGCTTTACTCAAGCTATGAAGAGTGAGTAGCTTCTCATTCACTCTTTAGTAAGAGGTGATGAACATGTATTGATTATCCGGAAGCTATATTTGTGCATTTTCTTTATGCTTTAATGTTTTATATTTCACTTATTGAAGGATTGAATGCATCTAGGAAAACTAAGGTACTTTGTTTAACTATGGGTTCTTTCTATGTCACAGATGACTCTTGCATGGAAAAACCTGTTGGTTCAAGGCAAGTACCTAGGCTAGATTTTCATGATACATTTAAATCTTCACTATTATCGTGCTTTATCTAAAGAATGGAACATTAATGTCATGGTTGGATGCCTAGTAGAAATACTTGCTTGTTTGTAGACGGGTTAAATCTCGACACAAGTATGTGCTTAATTCTCACAGTCCATCTTTATCTTTCAATTAACTTGATGTTGACATGGGAGTTAATTGAGTTATAAAATACAAGTATAATAAACCGGATGATTAACTACATGTTCTGATCCTCAAGCTAAAGGGTGACTGTTTTACATTTGAATTTATCTTATATTTTGTCTAGAAAAGTCTTAAAAAGAATATTCTATTCTATTCAAGAAATCTCACAACTTCAAATTCTCAAAGTTTTCAGTTACTTGGTCTCTATTATTGCTTACTTCAAAACACCAATTATAGTTTCCTGTGGATTCGACTCCGGACTTAACCGGATTATTACTACAACTTGACCGGCTGCACTTGAGTGTACACATTTTGGATTAAGTCAATAACCCTCATATATTTCCCCCAATTATTTTCTCCAAAATTCAATCTCATGAATTTCACCTGCATTTTCACCTTATTATTTACCCCAAATTTTAATTTCATGAATTTCATCTCAATTCACACACCACTTTTTTGTTGTTGTTTGCTTAGGTTGATATTTTGAATTGTTTTAGTTGAATATGAATCTTTTTGTTCACTTAAAATTTTGAGGCTTGGATTAATGTTTAATCAGTCTATTGATGGTGGTTCACATTGTTTCATGTATTATACATTTTTATTTTTCCTGACTCATGGAAAGCTAAAAAGACTTAACAGCTCTCTCTAGGTAGATGGATTCATTGAGATATCTTACCATATATATTGTTTTGGTTTTGGTTTTGTGTGTAGAAAAATATAAAATGTTAATCCTTTGACTTGGTTTAGTTCTATTACTAAAGGTCACAATTTTATTATTGACCTACGCTTCAAAATGTGGAATGTTCAAATCAAATGATTCTTATTTATGTGGATTTATTTCTTATTGAGCAATCTTATGCTGCACAAATATTTATCCAATTTTTGTATTCCAAATCAGTGTAGGTGGTTGGATTAATGAGTTCCACTAATTTTACCAAATATTTAATGCATGAGATTTTGACACATCACTTGAGATACAAGATTTGTGCAACACAACTTTATCCTTATTTCTTAGGTTGGACTTGTGTGTATAACGTGTGACTCTGAATTTTGTTATTACTAATTGGTGCATGTGTGAGTTGCACACTAACTATTTTGACTTTTTTTTAATAAAAAATAGATAAATTGGACTAATTTTATTTATATGGAGATAGTTATATAATACATGATGGTTATTAAATTTTATAGGGCTTACTTGTCCACTTATTCCCTTATTAGTCGACAATTATACAAAGTAGTACTGTGGATGTGAGGTAACTGTTTTGTTCAAGATATTTCTCATATTTTAAATTGTGTGAACTGAATTGCATAAGGTTAAAAAAAAACTGAATTGCATTACATTTAAAAACTGTAATATTCAACTTCAGTAAGTTATTTTGTCTAATGTTTTTTGTTTACTTGCTAATGATATAAATTACTAATTTTATTATATAAATTGTATTGTGTACAAGTCGACATTGTTCAAGGTTGTCTTTAGGGAAATCAATATTAAATTTATGGGTCAATATTAATTTGGTGGAGTTTTATAGTCGTAGAGATTGAGTTATATCTCAATCTCTACATGAACTCATAATTCGCCAGGTGAAACTTATTGCAATGTGGTTGATCGTTCTAATTTGGCTAGTGGGTTGAATTGTTACTATAAATATGATAAATTTTACTATTGGTATGATATAAATGATAAATTGGAACAACATCATTTTTAATTGCAATTGGTCTTCAATTTCATTTTTTAATTGTTGAAATACGATATGTTAATTGTTGAATGTTATGGTTGTTAATGTTATTGTGTGCAGTTAGTATTTTACATGTTTAGTATGGTGAACTAATTACAATGGTTATGAAGATATGTTCGGTTTCATGTGAATTACTGGTTGTTTTAGTCGTTGTTATAAAATACTAATTTTTCGGAGAAATAGAATTGAATTGTGGTAGTATAGTGTATTATGATGATTGTTATGTATGATTGTAAATTTTGTAGACAAATTTAAAATTTTTTGAACTCCTATTGTTAAAGGACACTCTATCAAAATTTTTGAAAAATAAAAGGAATTAGTTTGATTTTAATTTCTTATATTAAAACAAATGAAATAAAAACTTTAAATTGATGGTTTATTTAGATTGCAAAGTGTTTTTAGACAATATAATATAATTTTAATTTAATTTCATGTTAAGCTGTACGATAATTACTAGTATTAATATATTTTAATTTTAATAATAGAGCTTTTTAAATGATGTGAATTTTTGTTACGAAAAAGAAAATTTATTACTTTCCGGAATTTTTGTTAAGCAAACACCTTTCTACTTACCTCTCTCACTCATCAACGGCCCTGATTTAAAGTGCCGCCCTCAAGGCCTTAGAATCTAGATTGTTCCTTCCTTAAACCCTAGCTCCCACCGCTATAAAATAATCCTTTCTCGGCCTTTCCCTTTCAGTCCGTTTGTCTTCAAAACCCTAGCAGTCGGTACCCCTCTGTATACGGCCGTGTAAGTGAACTCTGTGTCAACGGGCTCGCGTTGTCGGGAAAACAGATCTGGCGAACATCCGAGAGAAAGTTGATAAGAATATTCTACGTGTGTGTGAGCTTTGTCACTCATTAGATAGGGAGTGATGAGGTCTTATATATAGTTAATTGTTCAGGGCTTTGATAATGGTTTTTGTAAGTTTTTACACATTTGATTGTGATTTAATACTTATTCTGGTGTCAGTGATGAAAATCCTAAGGCTTGTTTCTCAAAAACATTCGCAGTGGCCGCCTGATCGAGCTTTCGCCTTCGCCAGGCTTGAGAGTTCATGTTGCTGCTCTTTCCTTCCTTGGATGTCTGAGACGCTGTGTATGTGTGTGAAGTGCGCGATTGTGTATGTTTTTTGTATTTGAAATAGATTGTTTTTTGGGACTTTTGACGTTTGCCCCTTTAGCATTATCTGAATTGCTTCAGGGAAGATCAAGTCCCTGAAATGCAATTTTCATCCATCCCTTTCACTTTGTCAGCGTCCAAGATTCGTGTTTGCTGATCATTTGAGGATGGAAAATTTCCACCCTCCCAATTTGATCAATGTTGTTTTGTCCTGCGTAATTGATTTACACGTCTATGATGACAAATCCAAAGGCTTGTTTCTCAAAACATTCGCAGTGGCCGACTAAGATCTTTCGCCTTCGCCGGGCTTGAGAGATTGTGCTGCTTTAATCCTTCCTTGGATGTCTGAGGCTGTGTCCATTGTCTAAAAAAATCAATTTACTTTTTTTCTATTGCCTTTTTGTACTTATTTTACGATGAATAGTTGTTTTCTGTTTTTATTCCTTTGTGAATCTATTACTTGGTTAAATTGTGTCCGTGTAAGTAATGTTTCTCCTCGAGAGGTTATTCTGCTGCTGCTGCTTTAATCTTCCTTGGATGTCTGAGGCTGTGCCCGTTTGCTACAAATGTTAAAATTGCGTTTTTAATGGCATTTTCCATGTGTTTTAGGAGTTTTAAATTTGTATTTATGTTCTGTTTCTATGTTTTGAATGTTCAAATGCTGTGTGTGAAGCTTTGGTTTCAGTTTTGAATTCGTGTTGATGATGATAAATCCAAAGGCTTGTTTCTCAAAAACATTCGCAGTGGCCGCCTAAGAGCTTTCGCCTTCGCCAGGCTTGAGAGCTGATGCTGCTTCAATCCTTCCTTGGATGTCTGAGACAGTTCTTCCTCTTTTTAGTTTGTTATGTTTTATTTGCAACACTTTTGCCGTTGAAGCTTGCGGTTCATAGTCATTGGAACTGGAGCACTGAGGGGGATGAAATTGGTTGATGAGCAGGCTGATCCTGGGCGCTCATGTATCATTTATTTAATATTAAAATGTCAGTGAAGAAGGATTTGATCTTAATGTTCAAACTGTTTTATAATGATCAAATTTACTCTCAATTTGATTTTGGTTTATTTTACACTATCTTTTGAACACTCACCATTCCATTGTCGCCCACCAGTATAATCACAACCACTATTACCTTCACACCATCACTATGACGTGAAGGGGGGGGGGGGGGGGGGGGTTTGGGAACATAGGTTGGGGAGCGGAGTAAATTCCCTTAAATTTATATTTGGCAACTATGAAGTACGGATAGAATTTCAAACTCAGCCTGGTCATGGCCCGGTCTTATATTTGGGTTTCATGTGGGTTTTGGAGGGGGGGGGGGGGGGGGTGGGGGGGTTTTGGGAACATAGGTTGGGGAGCGGAGTAAATCCCCTTAAATTCATATTTGACAACTATGAAGTACGGATAGGATTTCAAACATGGTCTGGTCTTATATTTGGGTTTCATGAAACCCAACTTGTGGGTTGGGGGTTTAACATTTAAATAACATTTATATTCTTATATGTCTTATATATTTCATATATATAAATTGGTTAATTGGTTAAGGGACAAAAAAAGTTAAATATATATAAATATATTATTATAATAGTAATATATCCTACGAATATCAAATACGGGCATGAATAACATTAATTATTTTAAACTCATCTTTGAATCCCATCTTTGGTCAAACCCAGGTTTGAACAATTCAATCTAAACCTCTCTCAAAAAATATATCAAATGACCCATCAGTGTTTTAATTGTCATCACTTATCATTGGTCACCCTATTGTTAATTGTCGCTAGCACCCACCATTGTCGCTATCACTATCGTTACCATTGTTGTTGTTGCCATTATTGCTACCAGTCATTCTACTCGCTACCACCATGTCACCATTTTTGCCTCAACCCACACAATATTGTTGCCTCAATCCTCACCATATTTGTGGTTACTTTCATCCATTTTAACCCTATCATCACACCATTGCTGTCATTGTTTACTTTTGCTCTGATCATCACCACGGCACCACAATTACCACCCTTATTGCCACCATCATATTACCTCACCATAAATTATTGCAGGTAATGCTATTGAGATTTAAAAAAATTAATTTAATTTGTTGATTTAATAATGTGGTAAGTGATGTTCAATAGTATTGTTGTAATTGTAAAATTTTGATTTTTTTTATTAGAATTTAATTATTATGTTGATAAATTATGTCAATTTTTTAAATCTTAATTATGGACTATTTACATATATCATAACTCATCTGTTTTTTCACCACCTTGATAGATTCCACCAACCATTCATCACTAAAACTATGATTACAGCGATTATCATTTCTCTACTGCTACCATCCTCAACAACTACCAGTAACAATCCTATGTCATCTTCACCGCCTCATCCACAGTAATTATTGTCACATTCATCACTCATTGTAACTGTACATCGTTGTCAATATTCCACAATAACCATACCATCAACACCACCTCTCCATTTCCACATAGCACCACTGACCAACTTTTTGTACCCACACACCAATCACTATAGTTGTGATAATCATTATGGCATGGAGGTGCTAAGGATAGTAGTCTGTGGTGGTTATGGTTTGACTGATAAAGTTAGTGGTAATGAGTTGGGAGGATGACTATGGTTGTAGAGATGCTGGGACGCTGATGTTGTTGACTGTGGTAATAGAGTTGCTTATAATGTAATGTAGGTGGCGATGGTGTCAAAGGAGGCAATAACAAGTGTGGTGAGATGGTGTAGAAGGTGATCGTGGGGTTGTTGGTAGTGATGACAATGGTGTAGGTAATGATGAGACTTTTCTGAAATACTCTATGATGAAGACACGTGTCCTCGGCATTACCAAAATACTGTTGCTAAGATCAAGCACCATCGGCGCATAAAGGTCCTCGCCTCCGAGGTAACCGTCATGTAGGATCACGGATTCAGTATGTTTTACACCGACACGTGGCCTCGGTCTGATATGGTACCTCGGTCGGCATACCTCCCACGGTACCGAGACGAGACCTTTCCTCGGTGCCGAGATGTACCTGTCCTGGATGCTTTCTCTACTCTAGGATAAACTATTGACGTACAGGTCATTAGCCTAGGCTAGTCTAGGCTATTCATCATGACCTCGTCTTACACAATTAGTGTCAGAACGTACAGGAATGCAGAGGTCACAGCCAATAAGGGATGGACGCGTGGCATATGATATCACATCGAAGACAGAGAAACCGCATGCCATTTCTGACACGCGACTTGGGAAAGCAAACTATTAATTACACCATTCCTTTGATGAGACCGCATTCAATGCGGTAAGGCTCGGAAATGAAAGACAATAAATGCTCCTAATACAGAGCATTTATTGCATCCTCCCCGAGAGGAGTACATTGTACCGTCGGCGTCCCGATGGCACAACATTGATTGCTCGGGACCCCGAGCAGTTAAGAAAAGAAAACATTCTTCATCAGAATCAGTGCACACACTGCCTGTACCTAATGATCACCTACTGACTACACTGACAGCAATCATGAGCTTTTGAGGTATAAATACTCCTTGCAAAAGGCAAGACGGGTATGCAACAACAAACTCTCTACTACAATACATTCTCAGTGTTTTCTCCTTCCTCTCTCTTTCTCAAAGACCGATTAGACCGTCGGAGGGGATACGCCGGAAAACACTCCGGCGCCCTTCTAACTTGTTCTTCTTTGTTCCAGGAACCTCTTTTAGCCTTACTGGATCGTTCTTCCGTTCCAGGATCTCCCATTGCCGTTTCAAGTTACCACCGTACCTTGCAGGCTGTTCCAAGCAGCGCGTTTGGTCACTCAACGGGCTCACTCGAAGTTCACCAAGGGAGAGATCTGTTCTCGTTTTTTATATTGTGCAGGATCTTGCACGCACAATCTGGCGCCGTCTGTGGGAAACGACTAGTTTTCCTAGTTTTTTCTCTATAAAGAACAGTGACCATGGTGAACACTCGACAAAAGGGAAAGGACCCCACCAAAGGAGTCTCGAGTTACAAGCTCCCTGTCATCACGGAGGAAGGGATCACACCAACACGAATAAAAGTGCCTCTACTCGGTCAAGAGGGGTTACCCCTCAAACCAGCATGGGAATCAGGTCAGGGGGATCAGCCCCCTTGGCTCGTCAGCTGGCGGAGGTGATTGAAGAAAAATTTGGTGATAGATTACGTCAGCTGGAAAAGGACAATGTAAACGTCCTAAGCCGGCTCGACGAGTTTGTCGCCTCTGGCGGGGGGTCTAGGGATTCATTCCTTTCCCGTGGGCTTCCCACCCGGGAGGAGGAAACGAAGGACCTAAGAAACCATCTAAACAACAAAGCAGAAAGCTCTAGGGCCCCAAAGCGACCTAGAGCCGGCGAGCATCATCATGACAACCTTTCAAGGAAAGCAAGACCATTGGCCCTAGACGACCTCCGGCAAGGTTTGTCTAGACGGAGGAAGGGAGATGAATCCGAGGAGGACTCAACCCCAATGAGGGGCTTACCGACGAACTGAAGGACTTCAGAAGGCATCCCGCCAGGGAAGAAGTTGATCTCAGAACCCGATTAGACACCAGGAGAAAGGGTAAGGCTGTCCAGGATGAGGCCGAGGACGAAGTCATGTAAACACCCTTTACAAGGGAGATCAGTGAGATGGAGGTCTCAAGAAAATTTGTCGTGCCGCGGTTCAAAACCTATGACGGGCGGTCCGATCCCGAAGCCCATATCAGGCAATACAAGCAGATGATGTCCCTCTATCATTCGGACCAACGGTTTCTTTGCCGAGTGTTCCCTATGAGCTTGGGGGACTCTGCGATGAAGTGGTTCGAGGCGCTTCCTCCCAACAGTATTGGGTCCTGGAAGGAATTGACTAGGCAGTTCCTGGCTCGATTCATTACGGGGAGTAAGCGCCCTAAAGACATTGGATCATTGCTGACCCTCAGACGGAGGGAATCCGAGACTCTTCGCCAGTACGCCATCCGATACTGGGAAGAGGTCAATGAGGTAGAAGGCTGCTCGGAGGTCATGGCAGCAGCATCTTTCCGGCTCGGCTTGGCGAGGGACACGGACCTGTACCGATCCCTGACCAAGAAGACTCCCTCGGATATGGGGGAACTGATGGCCCGGATAAACAAATACTCGAGGGTTGAGGACGAGATGGGAAGCAACAAAGGCCGAGCCCTCCAATCTAAGAGAAAGGAGAAGGAGTGCGAAGATATTCCCCGAAAGGGATTGCTACCCCCTCCAGGGGGTTCGTCCAGAGGAGTTCACACTGTTTTCAAGGAACCCATCTTCAAGTTGCTC